AAAAGAAAGAAAGAAAGAAAGAAAGAAAGAAAGAAAGAAAGAAAGAAAGAAAGAAAGAAAGAAGAAAGAAATGGAACAAGGGGCTGGAGAGATGCCTCGGCAGTTAAGAACACTGACTGTTCTTGCAAAAGACCTGGGTTCGATTGCCAGCACCCACATAGCAGCTAACAACTCTCTGTAACTCCAGTTCCAGGGGATCCAACAGCCTCTTCTGTCCTCCGCAGGCATTGCACAACACGGGTGCAATTATGTACATGCAGGCAATACACTCATACACATAAAATAAAAATAATAAAATATTTTTAAAAAAAGAAAGAAGTGGAACGTTTAGGGCACAGTTGACAGTGAAGTCCACAGGCTGTGACACCGTAGGGAATCACACTCACCTGCTTAGATGAGATGTGATGAAGTTTGAAGTCTTAACTTTCCTTGTAGCAATGGTTTAGAAGCTGTGTACCTTCTTACGATAGCACTGTTTTTGCATGTCTGAACCTTTGTTTCTTGTGCTTCTCATGCCATTGGGGCACTTTTGTACCCTCATTTTGTTAGCTCTTAACAGCAGCATAGTTTGGACACTCTTGTGCCTTTTAACACAGATGGCAAAAGATAAACCCAAGCAAATAGTGCCCTGAAATACTGTTACTTCATTAAATGCCCTTTTTGTTCATTTTTCTTTGTACTACAGAAAAACAGTAAAATGTAAGTTACATTTATGCTGGATCTGTTTTACAGTTTATTATTGTTGCTCTTATTTTACTCTTTCTATATTGCAGATCCATGTAAAAGCTCATTTTGACTATGACCCCTCAGATGACCCTTATGTTCCATGTCGAGAGTTAGGTCTGTCTTTTCAAAAAGGAGATATACTTCATGTGATCAGCCAAGAAGATCCAAACTGGTGGCAGGCCTATAGGGAGGGGGACGAAGACAATCAGCCTTTAGCTGGGCTTGTTCCAGGTAAGAGACAGTATGATACAAGGTTTATAGAATTGAAAAAAACCATTTAAAGTAAAGAGCTGAGAGTACAGCTCAGTGATAGGGCATGTACTTAGGTCCCTGGCATCAGTCCCTAGTATCCCCTCCCCTACTGTATTTTACCATAGAGATCTGAGAAGATGGTTAATCACCTTTTCCCTTTCTATTTATTTGTACCATTCATAATTTAAAGGTAGACACAAAATAATCATATCAGGCATACATGCAAATAAGAATTATCAGTAATAAATGTGAAGGAATATATTGAATGTGTCTTAGAATCAAAAAGTAATAAATGCACACATATTGCTTTGGAAAATTAATGTCTAGAATTGATAGGCTTGGTTTGAAATAATCCTAAGTGACAACTGATATAATCAGCACAGTACTCTATAGTAAATGTTCAATGAAAACTTCAAAAAAGTTGAACTATTAAATTTTCTAATTTTAGTTTTATAATTGATGATAAACAAGAAACACACATGATAGGACTGATAGAGGGTTGAAACTTGAATATTTGTAGGCCTGGGCTAGAGAGATGTCCCAGCAGTTAAGAGGTACTGCTTTTTCCAGAGGATCTGAGCTTGGTTCCCAGCATCCACATCTGGCAGCTCACAACCACCTGTAACTCCAGTCCCTGAGGATCTGACTTCCTTTTCTGGCCTACATAGGCACCTGCACTAAGGTGCACACACCCCCACACAGACACATACACATAAGTCTAAAAGCCAACACCAAACATTTGTAGGCTCATGTATCTTAGCTGGCATTACTCTTGTGGTAGCAGAAGGGTTTGAAAGGCAGTACGAAAAATTGCTTCTAATGCTTTCTCCTTGATTAAAAATAACTTTATTTACTTCTCTTTCTTTATGCTAAGGGAAAAGCTTTCAGCAGCAAAGAGAAGCCATGAAGCAAACTATAGAAGAAGATAAGGAACCAGAAAAATCAGGTTAGACACTTAATATTTGATATTAGTAAGAAGTTTCTTGGGTTTTCATCTGGAACCATGTTGAATTCACATAGTAGTTAGAACTGTCAAGAAAGAAAAGTGTATTCATTGAGAGAGTGATCAGAGGCAAAACTCTTAAGGAAAGATTAGCATATTAAAGACTACCTGTCTACAGTGTGTAATAGAAAATGATAAATACAAAAATTTAAATTCTGTGGATAGTATATGTGTTTATAAATCTTTAATTTGAGGTCTTTATATTGAAATAGGTAGCATTGTTTAAGGAACAAATACCTCATTTAAAGTTATTTTTGATCTACCAACAGGAAAACTGTGGTGTGCAAAGAAGAATAAAAAGAAGAGGAAAAAGGTTTTATATAATGCCAATAAAAATGATGGTAAGTTCTATTGGCAGGTGTAGCTGGAGCTGCATATATAAAGGGTCTAAGTCTGGTAGATAGAAATGAAACTGGTATTTTAAGTGAGTTTTATTTCTAATCTTATTTTGACTCTTGATATATGCTTAAGAAAATAATTGAAAGCTGGGTGTGCTGGTGCACACAAGAGTCCCAGCACTTGGGAGGCAGAGGCAGGTGGATCTATGTGAGTTCAAGGCCATCCTAGTCTACACAGTGAGTTCCAGGCCAGCTGGGGCTACAAGGAAACCCAGAGCCTCATGCATGCTAGGCAACTGTTCTACTGATGAGCCACATCTCCTCCACATCTTACTTCATTTCTAAAAGCAGACTAAAATTAATTGGTCAAGGTCTAAGAATTACTGTACTATAAAAATCTTGGCAAATCTGAAACCTCCAGATATGTAAATTAGCAAATCTAGAAATCAAAGTGCTTAGTATAATTGTACATGTTACAAGAAACTCAGAATACAAAAAATGATTTGAGAAAGGAAGAAATCATTGCTGTCTATAATACCTGCTCTATTCCATGGAAGTAAAGTATATGCTTTCATTCTCAAAATAAATTCCTTAAGCTTACAGACTAGTAGATTCAAGTTTAGATACTAAAGTTTCTGCTTAAATTCTTGTAGCTAATTAAACAGTTGTGTTGGAATTTGAACAAAATATAGTTGAGCACTGGCCCGACTAAGATGACCCTTGCCCTTGTGGAACATACCAGTGCCCCTACCAGGACATGACGGGCTGCTAATTGCCTGTCTTTGTTCTGACCACTCGATAGCTTTGGTTTCATCTGGATTAAGGGTTTTAGGAATATTACCCCACCCTTTATAATTTGTATCTAGGTTAGTTTTTGAGAATAAACTACACATAAATTCAGAGAGGATAGATAGCACAAGTATGACTTGTTTTCAAGTTACGTAACTACAGAATATTCTGGTACTCTTGGATACAATATCTGTAGCCACCATATGTAAATGTCTATGCTTGCTACAATGCTTAGCATATCTATTATATCAGATCCTTAAAATAACTCTAAAGTAGAATCTTTATTAAAATAACAGATTATTACCATAAGTTTATCTCCTGCTAGCCTATATACTGTTACAGTATTCACTATAAGCTATCTATTTTAAAACCAGACAGAGTGGCTTAAACACTTCTAATTCCAGCACTTGGGAGGCTAAGGCAGGAGGATCACTAGTTCGAAGCCAGTCTGGGATACAGAGCAAGATGCTATCTCTAAAACAAAACGAACAAAAGCCCTAGCTATTTTATATAAGAAGTATCTTTATGACATGGCAATAATTATGTCTGAAGTGCTTAACTCCTTCTTTCCCAAAGACTATGACAATGAGGAAATCTTAACTTATGAGGAAATGTCACTTTATCATCAGCCAGCAAATAGGAAAAGACCCATTATCTTGATTGGTCCACAGAACTGTGGCCAGAATGAATTGCGTCAGAGGCTCATGAACAAAGAGAAAGACCGCTTTGCATCTGCAGTTCCTCGTAAGTTTGGACACAGCCCTGTTTTCCTGTACTTTTCACAATAACCACCTCAGAATCTACCTCTGTAGGGAAAATGATCATCCATTTGATTACTGAAACAGTGTTGTCAATGAAAGAGGAACTTTGTTTAATTAAATCTGTTGACAAATTTATCTGGGTATGGCGGTGCATGCCTTTAATCCCAGCACTTGGGAGGCAGAGGCAGAGGCAGGTGGATCTCTGTGAGTTCAAGGCCAGCCTGGTCTACATAGCGAGTTCCAGGCCAGCTTGGGCTACAGGGAGACCCTGTCTAAAAAAGACCAAAAATAAATAAATAAATAAATAAAATATGTTGATAAATTTGCATTAAAAGTGTTTCTTAAGGAACTTAGGTTTTTACCTAAGTGTATAGTACTAATGATTTTCTAAATGAATTTTAGTTTGGGCCCCTTACCTTATTCCACAGGAAATCAATTCCTGGTTCTTCAGACTAGTGCTGAAGATAAAAATTTAGACCTAAATCTGAAAACAGGTTTTGTTTTAAGGTTATATAGTACCTACACTTACAGAAATAAATTATAAGAATAGATGAATTGTCAGTGTTTAAATTGCAGAAAAAGGTATTTAAAGTATAAATATAAAATGGATTAAGGTAACTAATTATTAAAGCACTACAAACGCAATTTAAGTTCATGTCTAGGTAAGAATAGTGTTAAACACAGAGATCCTTAACATTTCCTTAATTCATTATTTCACATTATGTGTTACAAAATAATATTTCTTTCTGTCTAGATGAATTATCCTTTTTCATTCTGACCCATGCTTATTACTTTTATGTGATTGTGTTTGCCTAGATACAACTCGGAATAGGCGAGACCATGAAGTAGCTGGTAGAGATTACCACTTTGTCTCACGGCAGGCATTTGAGGCAGATATAGCAGCTGGAAAGTTCATTGAGCATGGTGAATTTGAGAAAAATTTGTATGGAACCAGTATAGATTCTGTACGGCAAGTGATCAACTCTGGAAAAATATGTCTTTTAAGTCTTCGTACACAGGTAAAGCTTGAATTATATTTTAGAATGTTGAACGTTGGAGGGCATGTTTTGTAATCTAGTAAAAACTATTTTAGTCCAAGAATAACACAGCCTATTTAAGTTTCTATAAATTTTCCCATTCACTATCTTAAAATCAAGTAAGTTGCTCAGTCTTTCACTTTCCACATGTATATTTTTTGAATCATAAAATACAGCTAACTTTGGTACTGACAATAAATATTTTAGAAACTATTGGATTTATCTTTTCTGATCTGAGAAAAATTTTAAAAATGTAAAGGCTATTCCTGGGGTTTTAAAGGCTATTGTTGCAACTACTGACAAATGTCACAATGCACATTTGGAAAAATAAAACCTGTTTCAGCTATTTGATAGATTAAGCCAAACTAAGATTACTAATACTTCTTTTTTAAGATTTGATTTTATTTTTATATGTATATATGTGTAGGTATGTGTATATGATTGCAGTGCTTGCAGTGGCCAGAAGAGAGTGTCAGATCTTTTGGAGCTGGAGTTACAAGTGGTTGTGAGGCAAATTCAGGTCCTCTGGAAGAGCAGCATGCCCTCTTAACCCCTGAGCCATCTCTCCAGCCTAAGACTTCTATTATTTGGACAGATATTACCATAGGCTTCCAAGTAGTTAAGCATATTGATCTTTTTATATAAGAAAGGGCATTACCATCCAGTTTGAAGATGCACAGTAACGCATAAAGACAATTTGAAGTCCATAATGTCTTAATTCATACAGTCTGCTTTCTCTTGGATGTGTTTCCCAGAGTTTGGCCTGTGTACATGAAGTTTTTCTCTCTAGTTTTGCTTTTTAGTGCCTGTCACATAGAAGGGCAACTTTCTTGATTCTTAAAAAATGGATTTTGGCTGGGCGTGGTGGCACATGCCTTTAGTCCCAGCACTTGGGAGGCAGAGGCAGGTAGATCTCCGAGTTCCAGGCCAGCTGGGGCTACAGGGAGACCCTGTCTCAAAAAGACCAAAAGAAAAAAAAAAATCTAAAGTGGTTATTATAATCCATATGTGATCTTACTAGCAGAGTATTTCAGTATCATAATTATATGAATTTATAGTCATATAATCTTACAGTGAATGATGCAGTCTCAAAATTTTATAGATTATTTGTAATGAAAATGTTAGGCATCATTGACAGAAATTTTTAATGACATATTATTGTGAAGCAATTCAATGATGGAAGTCATTTTTAAAACCCAAATATCTTTACAGTCTTTGAAGACCCTCCGGAATTCAGATTTGAAACCATATATTATCTTCATTGCACCCCCTTCACAAGAAAGACTTCGTGCGTTGTTAGCCAAAGAGGGCAAGAATCCAAAGGTAAATTTGTTATACGGTGGTGGTATTCCATTGAAGATGGACATGAAACAGTCCTGATCTAATCTCATAGTACTGAAAAGCTGTATCAGCTTCTCTTTTCAAATTGATTGCTCTTTCTATGGTATCACTTGCCCAGAAACTGCTGGAATTGCCACTGGCTGAACTATGGCAGCTCTCCAAATCAGAAGAATGTTCTTGTTCTTCCCCAAACATTTCTTACTGTCAACTTGAAGTTTATGATAATCTCTGGAATTCCTTAAAACTCCTTTAATCTTCATTTAGGTCTGTGACATTTCCAAGGGGATCATATGGGGCCTCTTCCTCACCCCAAAGATCTCAGCAAGTCTTAGGGATTACCCATTTTTCTCTAGCTATTCCACATTTGTAGAGTGCCGGAATTCTCACATGATCTAAAACAGAAAAAGAAATATTTAAGTTATTTTAGATCTTTGCTTTTGTCTTTTTCTACTCTGTATGACTTAACATTTCCTAGTTTTTTAATATCTTAGAGTGTAGACATTCAGTGTGTTAATCATAATTTTGGTTGCTTTGTCTAGGTTGAGTAGTCCAGCTGGTGAAAGTAGTGTTTTGGAGTTTTGTTTTGTTTTGTTTTTTCCCCTACCTATACAATGTACCTCTCAAATAGTGGGGGTTGGAATATCTGTAGTTCTTTGTACTTGGGATGAAAGAAAAATGTGTGTGACATAGTTGCTGGCTCTTCTTGAGGTGGATCATAATATAGTAAGGGAAACAAGGTTAACATACTGTATAAGATAAAGTGTCTCAGAAGTACTTAGTAGACCAGCACCATGGTTGCTCAAAGAAAAGGATGCCTTCTGAGAACCAAGGTCAAGGAAAAGGATTCATATCAAGGACCAGTGTGAATTCCATTCTGCCTGTTCTGCCTAACTTTGTTTTCATATACACATTTGGGTCAGGTTGGGTCTTTTTCCAAACAGAGATGAGTATTACACCAACGACTTCCAAAACATGTCAAGCAACTTTCTTTTGATTGGTTTCTGGCTCTATTTTCATTTGGACATTTTACCTGTTATACTTTATATTGAATTGTCCACCCTAAATCAACTAGTATCTAGAAGATGCTGAGTATGTATGTTTTTAAAGCAAAAACTCAATACCAAAATGTTTTAACAATATATATTATACTTCATTTTCTGACTAGAAAGTCAATTCTTTAACTTACTGACATCTTTATCTCAGTATTATGCATTTTAATTGCATAATTTGTTTATTCACTGAGCTTTGACAAAAGGTATACCTGTGTAATAATCGTCATTTCAATCACAATTAGAACACATCTATTTCCCTGGAATTTTTCCCATAGGGCTCTTTGAAGACTTTGAAGCTCTTCCCAGGGATCACTAATCTGCTTCTTATCACTATCTGTTTTTTCAGTTCTAGAAGTTCATATAAATGGAACCATATAAAATATTTGTTACTAGCATTTAGTCAACATAGCATTTGAGATTCATCTGTTATTGCTAACAGAAACTCATTCCTTTTTAAAAATAATTTTTAAAAGCCAGGCATGGTGGCACATGCCTTTGATCCCAGGAGGCAGAGGCAGGAGGTCTACTGTAGTGCTGGGATCAAAGGCATGTGCGCCATGCCCAGCTCATAAATATATTTTTTTTAAAGTTTTTAAAAAATTGTGTTTTTCTTTTATGTATATGAGTGTTTTGCCTGCATGTGTGTAAGTGCACCACATATGTGCAATGCCCATGGAGGCTAGAAAGCGGGATCACATCCTCTGGAACTGGAGTTACAGAAGTTGTGAACTGCTATGTGGTTACTGGGAACCGAACTCAGATCTTCTGCAAGAGCAAAGTTCTCTTAACCCCTAAGCCATCTCTCTACCCCTGAGTTTACTCCTTCTTAATGCTGATTAATATGCTAAGACAAAAATATACCCACATTTTTTAATTCTCCAGTTGAAAACCAAGCCCCCCCCCTTTTTCAACTAATACAATCAAAAGTCCTTAAATACTCATGTGGTCTTTTGGGCTTTATCCCCTTGAGAAAGAAGTAGTAGCATGGGCAAGACCTTAGGATGGATCCCTAGAACCACTTTCAAAGAAAGAAAGAAAAAAAACCTTGTACACATTGAGTACTGGGGTGTGGTGGCACATGCTTGTAATTACAGCATTCAGAAAGCTGAGAAGATTAGTTTTCTACTTTATACTTTTGTCACCAATGTAAGATGTTTTCCAGTTAGTCCATGTCCTTAGCATCTTTTACCATTGTCAGTATGTAATTAACAGGTGTGAAGTGTTATCTTGGTTTTCATTTGCATTCTCCTGATGATTACTGATAATCTTTGCATGTAGGCGCAGGCATTTGACCATATTCATTTGTGTAGGCCTCAAGCCTTGTCTTTTTTTTTTTTTTATAATGTAGCCCTGGCTGACCTGGAATTCACTATGTAGACCAGGCTGGCCCCAAACTCACAGAGGTCTGCCTGCCTCTGCCTCCTGAGTGCTGGGATTAAAAGTGTAAACCACCACAACTGTTCCAGTTTGCTTTCTATTGCTGTGATGAAACACTGACCAAAACCAACTTGGGGAGAAAAGGGTTTTCATCCAGGGAAATCAGGGCAGGAGCTCAAGAAGGAATCTGGAGGCAGGAGCTGAAGCGTAATCCAGAGGAATGCTGCTTACTGACCTGCTCCCTCTATGTGCTCAGGCTGCTTCATATGCAACCTAGGATCACCTGCCTAAAGGTGGCAGTGCCCACAATGGACAATTTAAAAAAATGCCTCACAGACATGGCCACTGGCCAATCCAAGGGTGGAAATGTCTCAATTGAGGTTCTTTTCCCAGGTTTGTTGGGAACTGAAGCTAACTAGCACAATGACACAGTTACAGGTCTTGTCACTTTTTAAAAGTTGGTTTTTATATTCACTTATAAGCATTTTTTTATTGTGTTTGTGTACGTGTGTAGGTGGGTACCTGTGTGCCATGCACTTGTAGAGATCAACTCTGTAGTGTCAGTTCTCCCCACTTTTATGTGTGGTTTGTAAGGATCAAACGGGTCATAAATGAACAAGCCCTTTTACCTACTGAACCTTGACAACCTATATGCATTTTAAAAAATGCTCTGGATACAAGTCCCTTATCACATGTATATATTAAAACTATTTTCTCCAGATCTTTATATCTTTTAACAGTATCCTTTGAAGATGAGAAGTAAGTTTTGTTGGATTTGATTTTGAGACAGGATCTTGCATATAGTCCAGGACGGCATGAAAATAACAGCCCTCCCATCTCTCTCTGCCTCCCAAGTGCTGGGATTACAGTGCCACTACACCTGACCTGAGAAATGTCTAATTTTAATAAAGTTCACTTTTTCATTTATTTATGGTTAATGAATTTTATGCATGTCTAAATTTACCTCCAGAAATAAAAAGATTTTATCCTGTGTTTTTTCTTAAAAATTTTATGGTTTTAGCTTCTTGTATGTTTTGGTTAAATTAATCTTAGTGTCAGTGTAATGTTTCAAGGAGGTTTTGTTTTGAAATCATGTGGATATCCACAGCTGGAGAGATGGCTCAGTGGTTAAAAGAACTGTTCTTTCAGTGAACCTGGGTTTGTTTCCCAGCACCTACCTTGCAGCTCACAGCCTTCTGCGTAATTCCAGTTCCAGGGGTTCCAACACCCTTTTCTGACCCCCGCAGGCACGGTGTGCATGTGCACTTTTCATACATGCAGAAAAAACAAACAAAATAAATTTTTTTAAATCCTAAAAATATATGGTTATCCAGTTGGTTCAGTCAGTACCTTTTGTTAGGAAATTTGTCTTTTCCAAGATATGTTAGCTTTCACTGTGCATGTACATGAGTGTGTATGTGTGTACACATAATGTGTGCTGAATTTGTGTGTGCCACAGCACAGAAGTGGAGCTCAGAAGACAAGCTTGTGGAATTGGTTCTCCTTCCACCTTTACTTGGATCTGGGTATTACCCTCAGGTCACTAGGCTTGCTCAGTCAGTCTACCTGGCTGAGCAAATATCATTGGCTCTATATTGGCACTTTTCTCCAAAATGATCTAACCAGGGGCTGGAGAGGTAGATCAGTGGTTAAGAGCACTGGCTGCTCTTCCAGAGGACTGGGTTTGATTCCCAGTACCCATATGGCAGCTAACCATCCATAATTCCAGAAGGCATTGGATCCCTGTGGGCATTGCACGACACGGGTGCATTTACGTACATGCAGGCAAATCACTCATACACATAAAAAAAAAAAAATGATTTGACCAAATAGGCATTTGGGAATGGTGGTGGATTACTTTGGGACTCCCATTTTGTACACAGACTCTGTGCTAGCACTGTTTTGATTCCTGTAGTTTTACTGCTAAGTCTTGAAAACAAAAACTGAGGTACTGGTGAATAATGCAACATGGGTGAACCTTGAAAATACTATGCTAGGTGAAAAAACCCGGAGTCAGTAGACCTTATATGGTATCACACATACGAAATGTCCAGAACAGACAAATCTATGGTGATATAATTAATAGTGTTTAGGGGTGGGGGGGAGTAGGGCTTGGAGAAAAAGGCCAGTGGCACTTTAGGTGGTGATGGAGTGATAAAATGTTCTAAAATTGATTATCGTGTTAACTGCAGAACTCTATGACCATGATTAAAAACTGGGAGTTTTTCGGGGGGGAATTCACTATGTAGACCAGGTAGGCTTGGTGGAATCGAGAGATTCACATGCCTCTCCCATCCTGACACCACATCCCAGCCACACTAAAAACTCCTGAATCATACTTTAAATTGGTAACTTGTATGGTGTATGAATTATATCTCAAGAAAACTGTTAGCTTTTCTCCAAGGGTAAAATCCCAATGGGCTTTTCTGTAAAAAATGAATAATTTTTATAGATTAACTGATTTTACAGAACTGATGTGAAAATTAAGTGAAATTACCAAAATACTTTAGAAAACTTGAGAGCTTTTGTTTTCATTTTTTTATTATCTATTTAAATCACTTTAATTCACACATGATCTAACTTATGAAAATGAAAGCTTAATTTTTAAGCTTTTCCTCTTTTCAAATATAGGCTTTTGATGATCACACTACTGGCTCATTCTTACTTTGATAGATTACCTGTTTTCTTTTCTTTGCAGCCTGAAGAGCTGAGAGAGATCATTGAGAAGACTAGAGAGATGGAGCAGAACAATGGCCACTACTTTGACACAGCAATTGTGAATTCTGATCTTGATAAAGCCTATCAGGAATTGCTTAGGCTAATTAACAAACTGGATACAGAACCTCAGTGGGTGCCATCCACTTGGCTAAGGTGAAGGATACAATCATTGTGTCATGATTAGACTTTGTTTAGCAAACTGCCAAGATACCCCGCCCACCCGACAGTGCAAGATTGAGCATATGGTGGAAGGCAGCAGAACAAACTGCAGACCTGTTCTTAGATCTCTTAAACTAGTGAGAAGAAAGTTCCCTGAGGCAATTCATACACACTTCTTACTCCCTAAATACAGGTTTAGAGGCCCTTGGCTCATTTGGAGAGTCAAAATGGAAGCTTTCTTGAGAGAATTTCCATTTTATCCTGTTAAAACTTGTTTTCATGTAACTAAATCCTTCTTGGTCAGATGTCTGAAAAACTTGTAGGTACATACGTATTTCATGTCTCACAATTATACTGTCATTATTTAACACTTAATTTAAGTAACTTCATGTGGTTATTTGGGGGGGACTGCTTTATGCACTAGGCAAACAATATTTTCTTAGAAGAGTGGTTTAGTCATCAGAAGTATTTCCCTTACAAAAGAAAAAGGAGTAAAAAAGGTGTGCTACACCTTTAGTTTGAAGCTACTTTTTAAGTTTGAATTTATTTGTTCGTCTTTTAATTTTGAAAAACATTCAAGTAGAAGTACCAGCTAGCTCAGACTTATGCTGACCTTTTAAAGGATATCATTTTCTGAATTGTTTATTAAATTGTTTAGTGATTTGATAGCCTTGATTTCTTTCTCTGATCTGCACAGTGATACAGGAGTTCATAAACTGTAAGTTTGTTCCTAATGATGTAAAGTTTTTATATACAAGGAGGGACATAGCACATTTGACAGTTTTTGCATTTTTTTATACATTAGCATAGAATTAATCTATGACTGTGCTGTGTAGGTAACTGGAATTCTACTGCACTGTATACTAATATTTAATAAATTAACATAGTTGTGTTCAGCATTGAAAATAAAATTCGATATATCCATACACTAAGGAAATACTAAGACGATTGACTTTTGACATCAGAAGGAAGACCAAAAAGTCATTTGGAGATTTTTTTAGGAAAAGGATATTGGAGGAAATTTTTATTAAGCATATACAAACAAGTTTTGTCCTAACAAGGTCTGCCTCATGACTGGAATACAACAGCTTGCTAAATCATTAATGTTTAAATTAATGGGATTTTTGTATTGTCTCTATAGTTATAGTTTTAACTGTCTGTAAACTGGTGTGGAAAGTTAGTCTTTTCAAGTCTTTAAAGTGTAATGTGTGACAACCAACCTCAAATGTGAATGTTTTGATTTAGCTATAGCATTTCATGTTCCCAAAGCTAAACACTGGAAAAATACTGACTTGTCACTTACCACAAGCAGGTGTTAATGAGTAGTTTTTCCTCAGCATCTGTGTTTAATTTCTAGATAATTCTATTAGAACAAATGTGGGCAGTTTGTGTTGTCTTTTTAATTTTGCATGGCTTTCATTGGCTGGCAAGTGTGTCTTACGTAGAAATGAAATTTTCAGGATAATTTTCCTTAGGAAGAAAGGAGCATTCCTGGGTTGCTACAACCTTGTCTCAAGTCTGAAACACTCCACTTGGTAGAGCAGGAAAATGAAAGAGCATATCCCTTTTCAGCACTGAAAATCCCTATCCTTAGCAACTTAAATCTTTTTAGTTTTCCAGTTTACTTCTCAGGAATGAAAAGTAGTCAACAGAGCTTTGTGATCTGAAAATAATGAAAGACCTATAATATAGTGCACAGCTGTAATCCCAGCCTTTGGAGAGCCAGAGCAGGATCTAGAGTTCAAGGCTGGCCTGGGCCACATGAAACATTTTTGTGTTTTTTGAAATAGGGTCTCCCAAGAAACTTGCTATACAAACCAGGCTGACCTCTAACAGAGATCTGCCTACCTCTGCCTCTGGAGTGCTGAGATTAAAGGCATGTGCCATCATGCCCAGCTGAGACCCTATCTTAGAGAGAGGTTTTACAGGTAAAGCCCCTACTAAGGTTTGTGCCATGTCACCGTGCATACTTTTAGGAACTGAGATTTCAAGATCAGTGACATCCTGTAGCTTTCTTTACTCAGCCATGGTAGAGGGACAGAATATATCCTAAACTTTTCTAAATCTTAGTGATATCTCGTAAACTCTGTAAGAGTCCCTAAACAACGTGAAAAATGAGCTGTAGTCACTTCCTTGGGAAGGAAAGCCTGGCTATACATCTAGCTGTGCACCCACTAGGGCCAGTTCAATCTCCTGTCTCTGAGGTTCTGATTAGATACTGCAGTGTCTTAATCTCACTTACAGAAATAATACAGTGGTTGACTGGGGATGTAGCTCAGTTGGTCGAGTAACTGTCTAGCATATAAAGCCCTGGGTTTAGATCCACAACACTGCATAAACCCAGTGTAGGGCACATGTCCAGTAGAGGCAGGAGGATGAGGAACTCAAGGTTGTCCTTGGCTACATGACAACTTTGATGCCAGCCTGAGTGACATAAGATCCTATATCAAAAAACAAAAAGAAGAAATTACAATAGCTAGTTAAATGTCCTTGGGAAATCCAAGCGAAATTTCATCATACATGAGAACAAATAAAACACTAATATTTAGGCTAATCCAGATTTGCTTTCTATCAAAATCTAGTGTCTGGATTGTTTTCCTTTTCTCATGGCCTAAGGAATAAGTATTGATAAGGAATGATTTGAATGTAATTTTTGTGAATGTGTGGAAAATATAAACCAGGGATTTTAGCCTTACTAAAGATAATTGTTCTGGCATCTGTTGTTAATCTTCCTTTGTACTCTTGTCTTGTATCTGCTCTGCATTCTGTTATTTTGAGATGCACACTGTATTTTTTTTAAAAAAGTAAAATTTCAAATTTAAGTCACTGAGTACCTTCTTTTACCATGTTTATACCCACTGCCATTCAAGGTTTCTACGTGTACACCACTCTTAGGTGCGTTTGTCAGAAGCAAGACCACTGGAATCTCAGCACTAAACAAATTACTTTGTACTTTGTTGTTTACATGGGGAGTGTCCTTTTTGTTGGCACAGATGCTGTTCAGTCCTATTTCCTTATTGGTTGAAACAAGCGAAAAAAAGAGGCTAAGCTGTGAACACAAAAGTTTTTGGCAGAAGGAGGTACAAATAGGCAAATTCATCTTCTATGTAGCCAAGGATTTGGGGACACAAAGGGAATCTGAGTTGTTGGCACCTATGTAATATACTTAGTTTTTCCTACTCTGTATCTCTCAAAGGTTACAAATCATATACCAGCAAAGTTTTGCTACATACATGCAACCTGCTAACATCCTCCAGCTTTCTTTCCTATTCCTGATCCCCTTTTGAGATCACTCCAACTAAACCCAACAAACTGACCGCTATTTTATCTTGATTTCTTGTTTACAAATCCAAAGCCCTAAAATCATTTTAAGTTTATTTAACTAAACATGGTGATGCACGCCTGCAATCCTAGCTGAAGTGGGAAGATCGTGAGTTCAGGACCAGCTTGGATACACAGTGAGACCCTATCTCAAAACAAAATCATTTGCAAATTTGTGGGCAGTTTAAAAGCAAGACCGGGAAGTACCAGAGCTTTACCTCAGCTACATGATCAATGTTTTAAGGTGAATGCTGAATTTACCTTAAAAAATTAAAAATAACTAAATAGGGCTCCCTACCCTGACCTTCAAACTAAAAGTGGTGCTCAAGGAGCATTATTCACTTAATTTACAACCATCTCTGCTACTTGACCTCCACCTAACTGAGATGTTAGGATTTATACCTCACCAAGGTACTCGGGAATTAAGTGCTGAACAGTTAGTTCACTAATACCCAAGTGGGAACTTAGTTGCTGGTTTTCCAATCACTACTGAACCAACACTGAACCTGTCATTTTATTCTGTGAGCCACAACTGGTTTCCTACAAACCAGGCCCTCTGAGATAGGCTCTACATCTTGCCCTTAAGTACCTAGAGTTTATCAACTATAGAGACAGGAAGGATAAAAGTTAAGAGTGGGCTGGGGAGATAATATTGATTTGCCATGTAAGCAGGAGGACCTAAATGTGTGTGGTTGTACATACGCAACCTGGGCATGATGGTAGTTGCTTGTAATCCCAGTACTGGGAGGCAGAAGCAGGCAGATCCCTGGTGCTTGCTGGCCACCCAGCATAGTCTACTTGGAGAACTCCAAACCAGTGAGACTGTTTCAAAAAAACAAGGTGGACCAGGTCCTAAGGCATGACACGTAAGGCTGTCTGTCCTCTTGGCCTCCACACGCACACACACATTTACATGCATACCTGTATAGGCACACACGCATACAAAAATAACAAAAAGGGTATAAAACCACTCTTCAGGGCTGGTGAGATGGCTCAGAGGGTGAAGGTCCCTGCCACCAAGTCTGACAACCTAGGCTTGATCCCCTGGGACACGCATGGTGAAAGGAGAGAACCAATTACTATGAACTGTCCACGGACCTACACAAATGCACACTGGCATGTACACCCCTCTACACATACCCAAATAAATGTGATTTTAAAACTTAAGAAGTTAGACTACTTGGATTTAAATTCATTACTTTCCGGGTTTTTTTTTTTTGGTCTTTTTGAGACAGGGTCTCTGTAGCCCTAGCTGGCCTGGAACTCACTATGTGGACCAGGCTGGCCTTGAACTCACAGAGATCCGCCTGCCTCTGCCTCCTGGGTGCTGAGATTAAAGGCATGCGCCACCATGCCCAGCCAGCTTTTTAATGTAAAACTAAGTTCCCTGTGTCTCAAATCTCTTCTCCATGAAATATGTTAAAATATAGATTGGGAATGTGACTTGGTGGTAAAGTACTGCCTAGCCATGAGTTCAGTCCCTCACGTCATTTAAAAGAGGGGGCTGGAGAGACAGCTCAGTGGTTAAGAGCACTGACTGCTCTTGCAGAGAACCTGGTTTCGATTCCCAGCACCCACAACGCAGCTCACAGCTGTCTGTAACTCTAGTTCCAAGGGATCTGATGCTCTTTTTTTTACCTCAGTGGGCACTGCACAACAAAGGTACACTCACACACAGGCAGGCAATACGTGCATACACATAAAATAATAAAAACTTGACAGATGTGGTGGCACATGCCTTTAATCCCAGCACTCGGGAGGCAGAGGCAGGCAGATCTCTGTGAGTTCAAGGACAGCCTGGTCTACATAGTGAGTTCTAGGACAGCTGGGGCTACAGGGAGACCCTATCTCAAAAAGACCAAAAAAAAAAAGTAATAAAAAACTTTAAAAAAAATAGGAAAAAAAAAAAACTTTTATATGGTATTTGATAGCATAATCACACAAAACAGAACCTGGCAAATAATCCTAAATGTCTTCAGAATCATTCAGTACTTTTGAAAGTCTACATTTTGTTAACAGTTGATTATAACATAATAATGCTAGTGTCACAATTTCATACTAAGCACTATTTCGTTCCTAGTCAAACCCAGAATGCCCAAAATTGGTTGCAGTAAAATCTGAGTGATCATAATCATGCCAAAGCAAAGAGTCCTGAAAACCTCAGCCACAACTTGAAAGACAGCAAATTGTTATTACTTCTTAAAACTGCAAAATTTAGTCCTAAATAGGAATTAGTATTTTTCTTAGGTTAGGAAAGAAGTACTGTGAAGCCCGCTTAGCTCACTGTCAATCATGTATGTACCCCGAAATGCAGTAACTGTCTCAAAGTAAACCTAGTAAAACATGAGATAGGGAATTTTAAAAGGCTGCTATCTGTCTGTCTTCAGGGGAAGCTCTGTGGATGGCAGTACAGCTATAATGTGAGCATTAAAATGTAATTACTCTTCTTAATAAGCCAATATTAAAAAAAGAACCAACTTGTTTTTTAAATCATTTTACTCTGTTTATAACAATTTGAACTGGCAAAGCTGCTTCCATCATAGACCTATTGTGCAAAGAAAAATAAATGATGGTTTTTATAAAGCCGAGGACACAGACCACAGTAACACAAGGAGGGCTGCGGCACCTCAGATAACAGCGTCAAGGTTTACAAGCAGGTAGGAATGAAGGCTGCTCCACAGTAGTTGGCGTGAGACCACTAATGTTTCCTAAGAAGCATTTCCTAAAATGTTAAACAGACCAGCATAACTACTGTCAGTGGGATATATGACATTTCTGCAGGGGAAATTCTGAAGTTACTGAGCAGGTTTTACAAATCTCATTCACCTGTGATGATGGCTGCTGAATTCTAATACAGCAAAACAGTCCCATAGGGCATCCTGATAAATTTACAACCAATGAAATTCTTGCACCAAAAAATAAATAGCCACACATACCAAGCCTACACACAATTAAATGGAGCCAGTGGTGGGGATTCTGAAAGAAGCAGAACAGGAAAAACTATTCGAACAGAAGGTCCTCGTCCTTCTCCTCAGCCAGAAGGTTGGCAGGTTCCATCACCTCTCCAGCTGCCCTCCGCTTCTCCAAGTCCTTCTCACCTTTTTCCTTGAGGATCTTTTTCTTCTCTTGAATTTTTTTTAACCTTCAAGATAAAGGTAATTTCAGAACAAAGAAGCAATTTCTTCAGGTTTTTTTAACTAGGACAATAAACATGGAAAAGTAGAACAGAATTTGATACTCCCATTAATCCTCAATTTTGGTAATTTATAACCCATTAAAAACACTAATTTAAGCTAATAACCTAATGGTGTGATTTTATACTATTTGGTAATGCCCTAAGTACTTTATTTAATCTAGGCATATTTAACATGAATACTACTTGCTACTTGTTTAATTCCAGTTTCTTATCTCAGTTTTTATGTAGAAGACAGTCTAAATCAGTTTCATTTTAAAAACTCTTAAGTTTCTCTGGAAGGCCTAAATTTTTGGTGATGCCATGTTATATATGTGCAAAACATGACACTGATCTCCAGAGCCTTTGGCAATACAGTAATCCCATACCTGCAGGGAATATATTCTAAGACACGCGGTGGATGCCTGAAACCATGTAGTATTAAACCTTTTGTACATGATGGTTTTTCCTGCAGTCAGCCCTTTGTACCTGTTTTACATCCACATATGAAACCAAATGTGGTTTTAAAATACTGTAAATATATAACTCTGATAGTATAATTTATAAATTCAATACAGTAAGAGATCAACCATTTTTTTTCCCTTAAGTCATAAACTTTCACCTCTTTCCTTAAAGGAAACACATTATAGCTTCTCTTGGACACATGAGCTGCCAGCGTGCTGTGCTTTGGAGTCACTATTAATAAAACAAGGCTATGTGAACACAGCACTGCAGTACCATGACAGCTGGTCTGAAAACAGACGGCTACTAAGTGACCACTGGCAAGTCGAGTACAGAGTGGATAGGCTAGACAAAAGGATGCTTCAGGTGATAGCACAAGAGAGCGAGGTCTTATGTTACTCAGAACAGCACCTAAGTGAGAACATATGGTTTCTGTAATTTTCCATTTAACATTTTGGACTGCAGTTAATGGCAGGTAAACTGAAATGGAAAGCAAAACTGCAGGTAAGAGAGGACTACTATATTATTTCTTCTGGTTGTTTTCTTACAGAGTATTTTAATAGAACCCAGGCTAGCCTGGATTGAAACACAATCCTGTTTCAGCCTTCTGAGTGCTGGGATTACAGGCAAGTACCACCATGCCCAGTGTTTATTTCTTGCTTTTTATTTCTCAGAATGAAATATAAGCTATGTGGGCTGGAGAGATGGCTCAGCGGTTAAGAACACTGACTGTTCTTGCAGACCTGGGCTTGAATCCCAGCACCAACATGACAGCTAACAACTGTCCATAACTCCAGTCCCAGGGGATCTGACAGCCTCTCTGAAAACTGCGGACATTGCACAACACAGGTGTACTTACCTACATGCAGGTAATACACACATACGAAAAAATAAATAAAATTAAAAAAAGAAAAAAAAGAAATATACGCTATGCTTATTTGAAAGGTCATAAACCAAACAGTCACACAGCAAACAGCCTTCAGCATACGGGGGAAAAATAGGCTCAGTAAGTGCCAATTTCAACAAACCTATAGAACTCTTCTCGTTCTCTCTCATCCAGCTCTGTGATGATATAAGCAAGGGTACGTTCAATCCGGGGAATGATGACTAGAGTTTAAAAAAAAATATGTATGTGAGAACTTAAGCCCTTTTTGAAAAATTACCAGTATTCACTTGTATATTCATTTTTTTTCTAATGTAGAATTAATGTACACTTAACTGCAGAGAACTTCAAAAACAAAAACAACAAAAAAAGTTAATGAGGTATAAACCAACCAAACAAAAACAATTATTGTAAATATTTTGATATGTACCCTTCTGGTATTTTTTGTATGTACAGATAACACACTGGACCATGATATATCCAACACTAATATGTTAAGTATATATGAATAGATAACACTGAATCACAGATGTTATCTTAAAACATACTAGAATTCCACTGTAAAAAATGAGCAGATTTCATCTTACCCCAGTCAGACTGGCTAAGATCAAGAGAACAAATGATACCAAATGTTGGAAAGGATGAGGGGAAAGGGGAACACGCATCCACTGCTGGTGGGGCTGCAAACTGGTTCAACCCCTATGGAAAGCAGTGTGGAGAACTCTTAAAAAACTACAAATGAACCTACCATT